TCTACTTGGTAGGTTGTTCCACTGTCTACTTGGCAGGTTGTTCCCCTGTCTACTTGGTAGGTTGTTCCACTGTACTTGGTAGGTTGATCCACTGTCTACTTGGCAGGTTGTTCCACTGTCTACTTGGCAGGTTGTTCCACTGTCTACTTGGCAGCTTGATCCACTGTCTATTTGGTAGGTTGTTCCACTGTCTACTTGGCAGGTTGTTCCACTGTATACTTGGCAGGTTGTTCCACTGTCTACTTGGCAGGTTGTTCCACTGTCTACTTGGCAGCTTGTTCCACTGTCTACTTGGCAGGTTGTTCCACTGTCTACTTGGTAGGTTGTTCCACTGTCTACTTGGCAGGTTGTTTCACTGTCTACTTGGTAGGTTGTTCCACTGTCTACTTGGTAGGTTGTTCCACTGTCTACTTGGAAGGTTGTTCCACTGTCTACTTGGTAGGTTGTTCCACTGTCTACTTGGTAGGTTGTTCCACTGTCTACTTGGTAGGTTGCTCCACTGTCTACTTGGTGTGTTGTTCCACTGTCTACTTGGCAGGTTGTTCCACTGTCTACTTGGCAGGTTGTTCCACTGTCTACTTGGTAGGTTGTTCCACTGTCTACTTGGCAGGTTGTTCCACTGTCTACTTGGCAGGTTGTTCCACTGTCTACTTGGTAGGTTGTTCCACTGTCTACTTGGCAGGTTGTTCCACTGTCTACTTGGCAGGTTGTTCCACTGTCTACTTGGCAGGTTGTTCCACTGTCTACTTGGTAGGTTGTTCCACTGTATACTTGGCAGGTTGTTCCACTGTCTACTTGGCAGGTTGTTCCACTGTCTACTTGGCAGGTTGTTCCACTGTCTACTTGGTAGGTTGTTCCACTGTCTACTTGGCAGGTTGTTCCACTGTCTACTTGGCAGCTTGTTCCACTGTCTACTTGGTAGGTTGTTCCACTGTCTACTTGGCAGCTTGTTCCACTGTCTACTTGGTAGGTTGTTCCACTGTCTACTTGGTAGGTTGTTCCACTGTCTACTTGGCAGGTTGTTCCACTGTCTACTTGGCAGGTTGTTCCACTGTCTACTTGGTAGGTTGTTCCACTGTCTACTTGGCAGGTTGTTCCACTGTCTACTTGGTAGGTTGTTCCACTGTCTACTTGGCAGGTTGTTCCACTGTCTACTTGGCAGCTTGTTCCACTGTCTACTTGGTAGGTTGTTCCACTGTCTACTTGGCAGCTTGTTCCACTGTCTACTTGGTAGGTTGTTCCACTGTCTACTTGGCAGGTTGTTCCACTGTCTACTTGGCAGGTTGTTCCACTGTCTACTTGGCAGGTTGTTCCACTGTCTACTTGGCAGGTTGTTCCACTGTCTACTTGGTAGGTTGTTCCACTGTCTACTTGGTAGGTTGTTCCACTGTCTACTTGGTAGGTTGTTCCACTGTCTACTTGGCAGCTTGTTCCACTGTCTACTTGGTAGGTTGTTCCACTGTCTACTTGGCAGGTTGTTCCACTGTCTACTTGGCAGGTTGTTCCACTGTCTACTTGGCAGGTTGTTCCACTGTCTACTTGGTAGGTTGTTCCACTGTCTACTTGGCAGGTTGTTCCACTGTCTACTTGGTAGGTTGTTCCACTGTCTACTTGGCAGGTTGTTCCACTGTCTACTTGGCAGCTTGTTCCACTGTCTACTTGGTAGGTTGTTCCACTGTCTACTTGGCAGCTTGTTCCACTGTCTACTTGGTAGGTTGTTCCACTGTCTACTTGGCAGGTTGTTCCACTGTCTACTTGGCAGGTTGTTCCACTGTCTACTTGGCAGGTTGTTCCACTGTCTACTTGGCAGGTTGTTCCACTGTCTACTTGGTAGGTTGTTCCACTGTCTACTTGGTAGGTTGTTCCACTGTCTACTTGGTAGGTTGTTCCACTGTCTACTTGGCAGCTTGTTCCACTGTCTACTTGGTAGGTTGTTCCACTGTCTACTTGGCAGGTTGTTCCACTGTCTACTTGGCAGGTTGTTCCACTGTCTACTTGGCAGGTTGTTCCACTGTCTACTTGGCAGGTTGTTCCACTGTCTACTTGGTAGGTTGTTCCACTGTCTACTTGGCAGGTTGTTCCACTGTCTACTTGGTAGGTTGTTCCACTGTCTACTTGGCAGGTTGTTCCACTGTCTACTTGGCAGCTTGTTCCACTGTCTACTTGGTAGGTTGTTCCACTGTCTACTTGGCAGCTTGTTCCACTGTCTACTTGGTAGGTTGTTCCACTGTCTACTTGGCAGGTTGTTCCACTGTCTACTTGGCAGGTTGTTCCACTGTCTACTTGGCAGGTTGTTCCACTGTCTACTTGGCAGGTTGTTCCACTGTCTACTTGGTAGGTTGTTCCACTGTCTACTTGGTAGGTTGTTCCACTGTCTACTTGGTAGGTTGTTCCACTGTCTACTTGGCAGCTTGTTCCACTGTCTACTTGGTAGGTTGTTCCACTGTCTACTTGGCAGGTTGTTCCACTGTCTACTTGGCAGGTTGTTCCACTGTCTACTTGGCAGGTTGTTCCACTGTCTACTTGGCAGGTTGTTCCACTGTCTACTTGGCAGGTTGTTCCACTGTCTACTTGGTAGGTTGTTTCCACTGTCTACTTGGTAGGTTGTTCCACTGTCTACTTGGTAGGTTGTTCCACTGTCTACTTGGCAGCTTGTTCCACTGTCTACTTGGCAGCTTGTTCCACTGTCTACTTGGCAGGTTGTTCCACTGTCTACTTGGCAGGTTGTTCCACTGTCTACTTGGCAGGTTGTTCCACTGTCTACTTGGTAGGTTGTTCCACTGTCTACTTGGTAGGTTGTTCCACTGTCTACTTGGTAGGTTGTTCCACTGTCTACTTGGTAGGTTGTTCCACTGTCTACTTGGTAGGTTGTTCCACTGTCTACTTGGCAGCTTGTTCCACTGTCTACTTGGCAGCTTGTTCCACTGTCTACTTGGCAGGTTGTTCCACTGTCTACTTGGCAGGTTGTTCCACTGTCTACTTGGCAGGTTGTTCCACTGTCTACTTGGTAGGTTGTTCCACTGTCTACTTGGTAGGTTGTTCCACTGTCTACTTGGTAGGTTGTTCCACTGTCTACTTGGTAGGTTGTTCCACTGTCTACTTGGCAGCTTGTTCCACTGTCTACTTGGCAGGTTGTTCCACTGTCTACTTGGCAGGTTGTTCCACTGTCTACTTGGCAGGTTGTTCCACTGTCTACTTGGTAGGTTGTTCCACTGTCTACTTGGTAGGTTGTTCCACTGTCTACTTGGCAGGTTGTTCCACTGTCTACTTGGTAGGTTGTTCCACTGTCTACTTGGTAGGTTGTTCCACTGTCTACTTGGTAGGTTGTTCCACTGTCTACTTGGTAGGTTGTTCCACTGTCTACTTGGTAGGTTGTTCCACTGTCTACTTGGTAGGTTGTTCCACTGTCTACTTGGTAGGTTGTTCCACTGTCTACTTGGTAGGTTGTTTTACTCAGTACTTGTATGTCAATATTTTTATTATTATAATTAAATTAATCATTAAACCCTTTAAAGGTCACACATCAAGACTCTTAAAGGTCACACATCAAGACTCTTAAAGGTCACACATCAAGACTCTTAAAGGTCACACATCAAGACTCTTAAAGGTCACACATCAAGACTCTTAAAGGTCACACATCAAGACTCTTAAAGGTCCCACATCAAGACTCTTAAAGGTCACACATCAAGACTCTTAAAGGTCACACATCAAGACTCTTAAAGGTCACACATCAAGACTCTTAAAGGTCACACATCAAGACTTTTAAAGGTCACACATCAAGACTCTTAAAGGTCACACATCAAGACTCTTAAAGGTCACACATCAAGACTCTTAAAGGTCCCACATCAAGACTCTTAAAGGTCACACATCAAGACTCTTAAAGGTCACACATCAAGACTCTTAAAGGTCACACATCAAGACTCTTAAAGGTCCCACATCAAGACTCTTAAAGGTCACACAACAAGACTCTTGAAGGTCACACATCAAGACTCTTAAAGGTCACACATCAAGACTCTTAAAGGTCACACATCAAGACTCTTATAGGTCACACATCAAGACTCTTAAAGGTCACACATCAAGACAAAGGTCACACATCAAGACAAAGGTCACACATCAAGACTCTTAAAGGTCACACATCAAGACTCTTAAAGGTCACCCATCAAGACTCTTAAAGGTCACACATCAAGACTCTTAAAGGTCACACATCAAGACTCTTAAAGGTCCCACATCAAGACTCTTAAAGGTCACACATCAAGACTCTTGAAGGTCACACATCAAGACTCTTAAAGGTCCCACATCAAGACTCTTAAAGGTCACACATCAAGACAAAGGTCACACATCAAGACTCTTAAAGGTCACACATCAAGACTCTTAAAGGTCCCACATCAAGACTCTTAAAGGTCATACATCAAGACAAAGGTCCCACATCAAGACTCTTAAAGGTCCCACATCAAGACTCTTAAAGGTCCTACATCAAGACTCTTAAAGGTCCCACATCAAGACTCTTAAAGGTCCCACATCAAGACTCTCTACACATTTGACGGTCGTCAGCTGGTCCATGAAGATCTACATCAACCATCGCTACACATTTCCACATTAATCAGCAACAACAACTACAAATATAAGGGAGGGAAAACTTATGGGTTTGGATAAATTACAAAATAATAACAAAATTTGTTTTATTATATTTCTAGGTATTGAACGTAATCATTTTTCCCTCATATGTTCTTTATTCCACATATCATTATTTCACTTACAGTGCAGGTTTTCAGGAACGTAGCTTGCACGATCTGTCAGCGTCTGCTCTCTACCCAAAGGTTAAAGTTCATTTTTGCATTTAAATTATAAGAAAAAATACATATATAAGCCATATTGGATTAATTATTCATCATAATTCTAGATGGTAAGATTAGTGTATCACACGGTGTAGTTTCCGTCATCTGTGTTACATTCTGTAAGTTCCCAGCAAGAACAGTGTTTATTTAAACTTACATTGTTAGGCTGGAGCAGCGTACCTGCCGCTGGATGTGACGTTCCCCGAGTCCCGTGTGGCACACATCCTGCAGGATGCCAGACCTGCTCTGCTGCTTGTTCAAGGTGAGCCTGCAGCACTGCAGGGTGCCCACACCAGCCCACAACTGGAGAACAAGGTGCCCATCCTGCACCTGGAAGATCTACACTCAGAGGTATTGTGCTCTAAGGTGCTATGACTAAGTAAATTATTTAGAATTGTAAAATGATAAGTCCTGTGTTGAATAATGTATAATTATCATAGATACATTCAGGCCGTTACTCCTTCTTTATAAGGTTCCATTATTCAACTTTGTTGTTGTTGAACGAATCCGGAATAGATTCAGTTATTCATGGAATTATTTTTTGGGTCCTTTTTCTCGGTGCATGGCACACATTCCCTAACTTAAAAAACTAGTAACATAATTATATTCTAAATATGATTAATGTATTTCCTCACATCTAAATTTCATTTTCTGATCTTTCGTATGAATATCAGTATCATCCAGATTAGTGATATTTGAAGACATGTATTTTCTGTAGTGAAAACAAGCGAAATAGGAATATTTGTTTATATTTTTCTTATCGCACGAGCCATCTCCCACCGAGGTAGGGGGACCCTAAAGAGGAAGAACATTCACCATCATTCATTTATTATCTTTCCAGATGTGTATTAAGATCACAATTCAAATGACCCTCTGATCTGCAACAGTCCCACCTCTCCTCCAGAGTGCAGGCATTATACTTCATCTCCAGGACTCAAGTCCGGCTAACTACTTTTCCCTGAATCTCTTTATACATCCTACCTTCCTTACACTCCAACAGCATGTCAAGCCATATAAACACTTGGTTTCCACTCAATCTGATTTAACAGGCTCACACAAGCCTGCTGAAATGTTCAAACTGCTAGCACTCAAAACCACTTATACCCTGTCCTCCTCCCTCCAACCCTTCCTGGAATGACCTCCTCCCATCCCCTCCTTCCTTCCAATCTGGATTTATTCACTCTCATGGTCATCCTGTTCTGCTTCATCCTCCTTCATGTCCAAGCCAACAAATAAAGTTTTATAACTACCTGATTTTGAATTATTTGCTCATTCGTTTTTTCACAAGACTTCTAAGAATGTTGCCCTAGGTAATTTAGGGTTATGACGGTGACATTTTATAATTACATAAATTAGAGGAAACACCTCATCACTATTCATACAATCACTGTCTTGCCAAAAGTACATTGATATCACAATTCGGATGATCCTCTGAACTGCAGCATCCCTACCCCTCCTTCAGTGTGCAGAGTCCTGTTAGTCAGACCCACCTCGCATTCCAACAGCATATTCATTAAAAACCTCTTGTTACCATTTACACTAATATAACACACACAAGCCTACTTAATGCTGAAGTCCCTAAAACCCAAAGCATCCTTGACCCTTCCCTTCAACTATTCCTCGGATGACCCTTCTCCCTCCTAACTTCCATCCTGGATTTATACATTCTTTTCATCACCCTATTCCTCTCCATCATGTCTACATGCCCAAATCGCCTCAAAAACCTTTCAGTCCCTGGTCACCCACAACACTTGTAATTTCTATGCTCCGAATTCTCTGAATGTTATTCACACAACACATTGCTCTCAAAAATTTCATCTCCATTGTCTCCAGCCTTCTCCTGGATGCAGCGTTCAAAACCCATACCTCAAACTTCAAACACGCTTTCAAAACCCATACTCATACTCAAACATCGTTCAAAACCCATACCTCATACCTCAAACACACGTTCAAAACCCATACCTCATACCTCAAACACACGTTCAAAACCCATACCTCATACCTCAAACACGCATGAAAGTGTTCCTACCACTATTCTCTGTTATATCACCTTATTTTTTGGGGTTTTCAATAAATTTCTTTCTAAAGATGCCTAAACACACACAAAACTTTTTCTCCCTCATCTGATTTATGGTTCATTTCGTCTTTCATAGAAGCATCTGTTGACATGTCAACTCAAGAATATTGAAACATTTACCTTCTCCACTCTCACTCCCTCCAGTCTGATATTGAGTCTGTCATTGCCTAGACTTTTTGCTGCCCTCATCACCGTGCTGATTTTTTATATTCCCTTTGAATTTCCACTTCTCAAATTCATCTAACAACCTTTGAAACTTGTTTTCAGAATCCCCTAATGGAAGTGTGTCATCAGCAAAGAGGAATTGTGATAACTCCCGCTTTGTATCTGATCCTCTATGAAAACAAAAATGAAGATCTTTCAGTGGTGCATTAAGGAGTCTGTGGAGACAAAGTATGTTATCCATGGAAGCAAAGAGGGAAATGTATGAGATTATAGTGGTAACAACACTCTTATATGAGGAGGATGGAGGCAGTGGAGATGTTGTGTCTGAGGGCAATGTCACATGTGAATATACTGCAAGGAATCCGTAGCTTGGAGATTAGGAAGTGCACGGTTAATAAAAATATTATCCAGAGGGTTGAGGAGGGGTTTTTGAGGTGGCTCTAGACATTTAGAGAGGATGGAACAAAATAGAATGACTTGGAGGGCATATAAATCTGTAGTGGAAGGAAGGCAAGGTAAGGGTTGTCCTAGGAAAGGTTGGAGAGAGGGGGTTAAGGAGGTTTTGTGTTTGAGGGGTTTTAATTTCCAGCAAGCGTGCATGTGCATGTTAAATAGGAATGGAGACAAATGCTTTTTATGACTTCTCGAACTGTTGGAGTGTGAGCAAAGTAACATTTATGAAGGGATTCAGAGAAACTGGTTAAGCGGACTTGAGTCCAGGAGGTGGAAAGTAAGTACCTGCACTCTCAAGGAGGGGTGGAGATGTTACATTTTTTCAATTGTAGCATAGATGCACTTCTGGCACGACACTGATGGAATGAATTATAATGAAAGTGTTTCTTCTTTTTTAGGTTACCACGCCTTGGTGGGAAATGGCTCGGTTAATCAAAGAATAAATATTATTATTTTAACAGAATAATGCTTAAGGCACTCTTCATAATATTTAAGAAGACATATGTAAGCTGCTATTGTTTCTTTTAAAGGTCGAGGAAGAAAGAGGTGATGACTTGAGTGTTGGTGAGGTTGGTGCGAGTGTGAGTGGGTCGTCCATCGCCACAATATTGTATACCTCAGGATCAACAGGAGTACCCAAGGGTGTGAGACTGTCTCACCGAGCAATATTTAACCGTCTCTCCTGGCAGTGGAAGACCTTCCCTTACCAAACACAAGAGGTAAGTCCTCTTTATTGTATACTCACAATTATATCACACAAATGTTAAACCTAACTTTGTTATTTTTTTTAAATACACTACCTAACAGAATACTCCATTCTACTGAATGAACAGCAATGCATACAACCATATGACCTGTCTTTGTAATACTCATTTGTATTTTATAGTTATCTGTTTACAATAATGTCTTCATATATGCTTAGTAATCTTGTATTTAATTCTTCATAATGCTATTCACGTTTTATTATCTAAGTTAATATTTAAAGCCAGCCCGTAATGCTATCGTAAACATGGCTTTGCATAAAGCTGCTCTTAACCTGTATTTTTTGTACCTCTGTTTGTATGCTAAATTTCTAAATAAATAAATAAAAGGTGAGCCCAGCATATATTGTACCGTGAAACATAGCCTCTTGTCACTATCAAATGCACATAAAGGCCTAATAATATGTTTACACTGTTATATGTTAAGTGAGCAATAGACTTAGGCCTAAAAGAAATGCATATACATTACTTACCTTAAAATATTTTCATCCTTAGCTTATAGTGAGTGGTGAATATACTTACAGTGAGTGGCGAATATACTTATAGTGAGTGATGAATATGCTTATAGTGAGTGGTGAATATACTTATAGTGAGTGGTGAATATACTTATAGTGAGTGGTGAATATACTTATTGTAGGAAGTCTGAAATAATGAAGAATGTGTATAATTAAAAACCATTACTTTAGTGAAATGTTGTAAATCGGTAACCGCCTATATTAACAGTTACTATAATGATCCTTATTGTCTCATTATAGTAATTATTATTCAATCAGAATGCTTATATTGTAGATACTGAGAACCATATTTGCACATATATTTTCAGTACATTTAGAGCACTCTTGGTGCTCGGGTGGAAACTCTTTTAGTTTTAACAATAACGTACTCTCCTTATTCCAATTTTTAAGTCAGTTTGAGGTTTTAAACACAACAGTGGTCTCCTAACAAGACAGGGTTATCCAAAAAAAGAAAACACATTCACCAACATTTACTCAATTGCCATCACAATAAATTCACCCGTTTAACTGCAAAAATCTCCACCCCATTCCCCTTCAGAGTGCAGCCGCTGTACTTTACACTTACACCACTCAAGTCCGGATAACCGGTTTCTCTGAACCCCTTCGTAAAAGTTACTTTGCTTACAGTCCAGCAGCATGTCCATTAAAATCCGCTTGTCTTAATTCATTCCTACCTAACACATACAAACCTGCTCAATGCTCAAGCTCATAAAACTCAAAGCCTCCTTTATTCCCTCCCTCCGATCATTCCTGGAATGGTCCCTCCCTCTTCTACCTTCCACACTAGATTTATAAACCTTCTTTGTCAGTCCATCCCTGTCCATCCTTCTCCATGTTCAAACCACCTCAGCAATCCCTCCTCATCTATCTGTGTATATATATACCCTTGGT